AAGGTGGATGGACAGGTAGATAGATGGACAGGTGGATGGATGAGTTGGTAATAAATGAGTGGGTAGGAGGATGGGTAGGTGGATGGTGGATGGAGAGCCGGGTGGAAAATGGAGGGATATCCATAGTGGACACATGAACAGGTGGACGAGCAAAGAGGTGGATGGATATCCACTGGTGGATACATGGACAGGTGGATGTATGGGGAGGTAAGGGATTGGTAGGTAGAAAGATGTGTAGGTAGATGGATAGGTGGATGGGTAGAAAGATGGATATCCATGAGTGGATGGTTAGATATATGCACAGGGAGATGGAGATGGACAACAGATGACTGAGGGACACTGGCGGAGTGGAAGGCACACCCCTAGGATGTGTCACCACAGGTCTGTGGACATGCACTGTGGCACCCAGCCTGTGCAGACCCACATGCTGGAGCAGAGCTTGTAGCCACAGCTGTGTCCCAAAGAGCTGTGTCAGCGTGGACTCTGGCAGTCTGTGCCACCAGATGTGGGACTGGGTCCTCTCAGCTGAGTCAGCCTTGCTTAGTTGGTGTCCCTGTCATCGATGGACTAATGACACCTCCTTCCTGAAGGGCTGCAGCAGCTCTCAACTGGCACCACCTCGACCTGATTGTCTTGGGTCCCAGCGTGAGAGGTTAAACCCTACCTCAGCTCAAATCATCCCCCCGCCAAGGCCTCAGGGTCCCCACTGTGTGACAGGCACCCTGGAGATCTGGGCCTCGGTGTCTTTTTACTGCCTGATCCCCAGTTTGACCATGTCTCCATCCCACACTCAAGATAGACTTAGCCTGTTCTGCTGTCTTCTTGGTTAGGATGTAACTTCACGACAGTCATTTCTCTGTCCCTCATTGCACCCTGGGCTCAGAGCAGAGCCTGACGCAAAAGCTCCAGGAAGCACATCAGAGACCAGCCCTTGGCCTGCCCAAGGGCTGTGCGGTGTGCAAGCTACTGTGTTCCCAGCTGGGTGTGGTGATGCATGCTTGGCATCTGAGCTCCTCAGGAGGCTAAGGCAGGAGGGTCAGGAGTTTGAGGCCAGCCTGGGCAACTTGGAGAGGCCTTGTCTCAAAAAGAGTGGAAAAGGCTGGAGATGTGGCTCGGTGGTATAGCGTCTCTGGGTTCGACCCTCATGATGACATGGGCGCGCACCAGCGCACGCACGCACACATGCACACGCACACACGCACACACACACACGCACACGTTACCATACTTGCCATGGCTGCAAATTGCATGTGGGGTGTGGTACCTGCCAGTCTCCCTTCCTCATCTCTGCAAACCCTCCCAGGTCTTCCCTAGGTTGACTTTAGTTCCCATGGGGGCCATGTGTCAGGAGCGGCTCTAGCACGGGGGCCCAGCCTGCTTAACCTAGGCCCAGACATTGAAGCCACTGAATGAGTTTCCTGCAGGGAAGGGGACCTGGGCCTGGAAATGAAGACAGAGATGTGTGTCGGGGTCTGGGGTAGAGAGGGAAGAGTGACCAAGTCCTTAGTACAAAAAGGGAGTCCTCCATGTGCACACACTGCATGCCAGCTCTGCAGTCCCAGCCACCCTGTGGCACACCCCCCCACCCCACAGGGAGCCCCCTGCCCAAGGCCAGAGAAGGCAGCACAGGGTGAGTGCAGAGTCCAGCTCAGTCCAGGCTGTGCAGGGTGGGGTGTGCAGGGCAAGGCTGGGGCCCCCATGCCCTGGGCCCCAGCACCCAGACCTGGCACAACTGTGGGCAGCAGGGCATGGGAAGCCACGGAGCTGGTTTCCAGGCAGGCTCTCCCCTCACCCGAAGCAGCAGAAACAGCTGGCCACACAGTGGTCAGTCACACTGCCAGGGCCAGCTGAGGGCTGTGCAGAGCCCCACCAGCCACGGCGTGAGTTCCCTGTGATGACAGGAAACAGGGAGCAGGGGGGTCCCAGGCAGGGGACAGAAGAAGCAGAGCCCGGAACAAGGCAGTCAGCCAGACAGACCTCACCCTGAGCTGTGTGGCCCCCCACGCTCCGGGATGGCTGGAGGAACCCCGGCTGGGGCGTGAGGCCAAACAAGCTGTCCACAACACTGCAGGGAGCCAGGACCTGGCGTCAGGTGGGGCAGGGCCTTGGGCTGCCCTCGGCACATGCGGAATTCAGTCCACTTGGTCCTTTCATCTGGGGTCTGCTGTGTTTGTCCTCTCGAGGAATCTGTCTGTTCTACCCAGGCTGACTTTACTGGAGAAACCATCCCTTTCACACCTGCAGCACCTGTATGCCTGGCAGTTTGTTTCCTTCTTGAGCACCAGCTTAGGGATCTCTCCCTAGGGCTGACGTTGTCCAGAACAGTTCTGGCTCTGAGCACTTGTGGTGATCTTGCCCTCCTCCTGTAGTTTGCTTCCTCCTTCCCTGGACTCGGGTGGAGCCTCAGACACTGGCTTTCGGCCTCTCCTCCCTCCCTTTCACAGACACGCTCAAAGCTGCGGGATCCCTCTGGGCACTGCTCTGGGCACTGCTCTTGCCACGCCCCACACATTTCATGCTGTGTCTATTACTGTCTCGATAAATCCTGCTCAGAGGGAGATTTATGAGGAAGGAGCCAGGGACCTGCTGGGTGTGCTGGGTGGGAGGATTTCCAACTTCTGGCCCAATCATTTGGGTGCATACCAGGTTCACCCCCGAGCTGGGGAGGTCTAGAAAGTTTTCAAGAGCACACTCAGAGGCACAGTGGGTCACCCCACCGAGGATCTGGGCCGGAGAAGAGCGCCCCCAACTGCAGAAGCCCAGGACAGCAGCGGGTGTGGACAGGGGCTCACAGGGCTCCAGGTCGCTCCAACCCATGTGGCCACTGGGCCGTGAAACCCTTTCGCTGTCACTCTCAGGGCAACTCCCCAGGGCTCAGCACAAAACCAAAGCACCTAAAAGCTGCTCACTGATAACTTGTGCACTGATCACATGCTGGAAGTGCCACTGTTCTGACTCTATGAATCTAAGGAAGATGCAGCAACACTTCACTGTTTGGGTGCAGCTTCCAGAATGCTCACAGCCCTGCTGCTGGCGCACATGCTGTTCCTGTCAGTGACTGCTCACACCCACAGCCACTGTGCAGCTCGAGGGATGCTGCCCATTCCCCCCAGGCCTGCCAGGGGACAGCTCCTTGTCAAATCGTGGCCCAGCGGCAGGGAGGCTGCTCCCTGGGTTTTCCTACAGCACCCTGGCTGCCAGGGATCCCCACCTTTCCTGAGGCACCCACCTGTCACTATGGCACCTGGTGCTTTGGTTCAGCCTCTGCCCTCAGCCAGCCACATGGACCAAACCAGGCTCTGCCACTCTGCTATGGGGAAGACACCAGTCGGCCTCAGGGGTCAGGCCCTTGTGCAGAGCAGCTACCCTGCCCAGCCCAGCCCTCAGGCCCTCAGGCCCTTCCACTTCTGGGCTGGAACCACTCTGGCCTGGTCATCCTAGGTTGGGTCCTGCCTCCCAGCTGTGCCACCAGCTGCTCCCTCTGCCAGGTACCTCTCCAAGTCACCCCCCTCACAGTGGATCCTTGGCATGCATATGATCTCCAGCTAGAAGGGGCCTGGGGAGGCAGGCTCCACTGATGTGCCACACTGGGGCATCTGGGGAGCAAACCAAGAAGGTCCAGGTAGCTCACCCACAGGGGCGGGACTTGGGCCTTACCTCCAGTGCCTACGGGAAGCCAGGAGAAGCTGGAGACATCTGCACCTCCAGAGGCCCAGGCAGGTGTACACGTACACGTGCACCACACACACACACACACACACACGGACCCCCCAGGGAAGGACCAGGCTGGCTCCCAGGAGGATGTACCAACCAAGTCCCACTGTAGGGTCTGCCCCACCTCCCAGGCACAATAGACTGTCTGGGCACTTCCTGGGAACCACCCTGGACCCCCGGAACACCCTACAAAGCTCACCCTCCTTGTCTAGGGCTCAGCAGGCATCCACTGGCCTCCCAGCTTGTTCCCCAGCCCACGCCAGTGCTGGGCAGGCACAGGAGGCTTTAGCAGAAGAGGCTGGCAGTCAATGGCCACTTGGGTGCTGCAGCTGTCTCTCAAGGGTCTGTAGCCAGGCAGCACCCCAGACGACCCAACTCCACACCCCTCAGCTGTAGGACCTGAGCCCACACAGCCCTGGTCTGTGGTCACCAGGTGGGTTGTGAACACTACAATTAGCACCAGCACTTCAGCTGCCAAACCCCCAGGAAAACCTGGGCTCCAGCCACTCAGAAACATCGTAAAGCCAGCCACACCGGGCCACATCTCCCATGTGCACCCAGGGGTAAGGCCTCAGGACTTGGCACACAGTCCACTGGGGCTGGCTGAGGACATGGGGGCCGAGGCCGGGCTGTGCAAGCCCCTTGGCAAGTGTCCAGCAGGCTCCATCCAGCCCCTGGCTGAGGACCCAGGGAGCCCCACTCAGCCAGCTACAGCCTCTGCCCTCTCCCCACTGTCAGTGTGGGCCCCCCACGATGACATGGCCAGCCCAGACGGCCCTGAGCTGCACTGCAGCCCTGCCCAGTGGCCCCACAAGGACACGGGCACGTGGAGGCCTCTCGAGCCCCTGCTGTTAGGGAGGGCCCTGGACGAAGAGAGGCAGGCTGTGCCTTTCTGAGGGGTCACTGTTAGCCCCTGGCAACTCAGAACTACTGTAGGAGCATCTGAGGGCAGTGGCAGCCGCCAGGGGAGCACTGAGCTGAATTATGGCGAGATGAGCTCTGCCCCACCCCGCTCCCAGATGTGCAGTCTAGTTTGGGCACGTCCAGGGTCAGGCCTAGGATTTTAACCCGAGGTCCCGTGGGCCATGTCTCCATCCCAGTGTCTCCCAGGAGCCCCTCCCTGGACTTCCTGCAGAGTGCAGGAGGCCAGCAAGATGGGCTCCCTTCTCTGCTCAGGAGTTAATGACCGGAGCCAGCTCCAAATGTGTAAAAACTACTTGTCGGCGTAAATCACAAACATGTGCTCATCTCTTCAAATTAGCAAACACTAATGCTGTTATAAAAAATTAATGTTGTGGCATTTTTTATTTCCTTTAATCAGAAAAATAAGCCCCAAAGTTTTAGAAGGTGGCCTTACGTAAGCACTGGGGAGGGGCTCACAGCTGCCAGGTTGAGTGGGAAGCATCAGGTGGCCTAGAGCTGACAGACTGGGTCAGTAGCCTGCCACGACCTGAAGGAGAGAGGGGAGGTGTCCTTGGTCCCCCTTCCCCATGCAAGGCTGGAACCCAGGTGGGAAAGCACCCAGGTGAGGCCGTGCCTGTGGGGCACCAGACTGGAGCAGGGCTGGGCCTCCAGCCCACTTACAGCCCCAGGACCCTCAGGTGGCGTGAGCTCCTTTCTCCCCCTAGCACTGGTTCCCCTGCTGGGCCCATTCTTGCCAGGGCTTCTGGAGACCTGCGTGTAGGGCTGCCCTGAGGCAGGCCTGGGGTGGCGGTGGGGGGCCCAAGGACAGCCCTACAGTGCAGCCAGCAGGTAGAACTGTGCCCTTTGAAGGGAGCAGAGAAGGACGGGAGGGCTCTCCAGGCCTGCCCTGGAGCCCCGCACCCTGTAGCTCCCTGGTCTGCAGGCCTCGAGAGCTGGCCTCTCAACGACCCCAAGGAGGTGGAGGGAGAGCCCTGAGCGGTAGGGTGGCAGGCCCAGGGCCACTACCCATGTATCCCTCCTGCAGCCTGAGTACCCCCATCAGCTGACCTCAGAGGACGGGAGCAGGTGCCACAGCCTGGCCAGTCAGACCTACATGTTGGCCACCAGGTCATGCCACTGGGGCAGGGAAAGCACAGCAGCCAGACAGGCCTAAGGCCAGCAAGGCCTGGGCTGGCACTGTCACACGGGCCCAGGCAGGCACCATGCACAGGGACACATCCATGCCTTCCTGCACAACACAGACACACGCACACCCACACAACTGCACACGTGCACGGAGACTCGGAGATTGAAGAGACAGCATTGGCAATTTAGAGGCACAGAGACACTGAGGTCCCAGCGGGCTCCAGACCTAAGGGCTATGTGCCCTCTCCCAAGGTCGTGTACATCACAGAGCGGCACACACTGGGGGTCACATGACACCAGAAGGGGAGGGCACGTGGAGTGGTGAGAAGACACCAGGTTCATCTCCTTCCTCCTGGCACGATGGGCCCGGGCCTGGTCATGGCACAGTAGGGACCCCGGCCCCTGGCCAAGCCTCAGTTTTCAACAGCAATCAGCCAGGCCGTGTCTGGAGAAGGCCTCGGACCAGTCCAGCAGTCCCGAGGGCCCCGCTCACACACCCCACGGGTAGCCAACAAACATCCAGAGGGTACCTGTGTGCATCAGGCTCCAGGGCTCACAGATGGGGCCTGGCGGGCCACACCTGGGGCAGAGGATCGGGTCCACCGTGACCTCAGGGCCTGGCAGGGACGGCCCAGGGCCAGGAGCGAGACCTGGGGCTGACGGGGTGGCACCAGATCCAACAAGGACCGCCTCGGCTGGCTGAGGGACCCCAGGAGAGGCCGGCGGGGTGGGCCTGGCTGCCCCAGAAGTGAGGGGCGCTCTGGGATGGGAAGTAACGGCTGGGGTTTGCAAGGCTGGCTTGGACCCAGAAGGGATCGCAGGGGCTGGCAGGGCTTCTCTGGGCCCATGAGGGGCCGCTTGGACAGGCGGGGCTGCTCTGGGCCCATGAGTGGCCGCTTCGGCTGCTGCGACTGTCCAGGGCCCAGCAGGGCAGGCTTGGGGGGGCCAGTTTGTTCTGGGGCTTTAGCTAATTGCTGGGGCTGCCTGAGGCCCAGCAGCGACTGCTGGGGCCGGCTAGGCTGGCCCAGGAGAGACTTTCGGGGTTGGCTGTGCTGACACGGGGCTAGCAGTGCCCGCCGGGGACAACAGCACTGGCAAGAGAGGGAGCTGGGGGGCCGGCGGCGCGGTCGCAGGCTGAGGAGCGACCGTGGGGGCTGGCAGCTCGGGCAGTAGGCTAGCAGGGACCGCAGCGCACGGCAGCACTGTCCAGCAGAAGCCCTACGGGGCTGGCCGGGGAGACAAGGAGTGGTCCATGAGCGCAGGGGCCGGCAGCAGTGCCACAGGGACTGCAGGGGCCGGCAGCGGTGACATGGGGCCAGGAGGGACCGCAGGGGCCGGCAGCGGTGACATGGGGCCAGGAGGGACCGCAGGGGCCGGCAG